AAAGTATAGAGCTGATTCTCTTTTTTAAAAAGATGAATTCTGTATTCAGAATTCTGAAGAATTCTGTAAAGAATTAGAATTCTGTATTAAAGGAATACTATTATAAATTTCCAATTTTCCAGAAAAAAGGATGGGTAAACAGCTCAGAAAACACTGATTAGCTATATACAGAAATAATCCTATCTTTAGTTTAACTCAAATCAAGTGAGAGTACTATTCCAGTTCTGAGATCTAGAATAAGTGTAGTATTTGTATAGCACTAAGTTCTCACAATACAAACCCTGAGGGAAGACTACTTTAGAAAGCCTCAAACATGGTTACCTAGCCTTCTGAGAGTCAAATTAATTCTGCCAAGAACAGACTCCTGAGTACCATGTTAAGAGACTAGCAAAAGATCATTTCAGAATAGCACCAGCTTGAATGGAAGGTAAATTTAAGCTAGTTTTGTTTTTTAAACACTATTTTAAAGAAACTTTCATAGAAAATTTAATGTTAAAGCTCATTAAAATAGAATACTACCTTTATTTCTAATAGATACAATCTATAACTTTTCTCATTCAAGATACCATGTAACAAAAGATGCAACATCTTAAAAAATACGTATGTGATGCTTCTGAAGAGATGCTTCTTGGCCAAACCAGCAGAATTGTTTTCTTTTTGTTTGCAACATTATTTGAATGTTTCCCCTTATAAATCAAGTTACCATCTTCCAGTCTCCATGTTGTATATCCACAGTTCTTCTCTAGGCAGATAGAAGTCATATAATCCTCTGACTTGGTTACTCTATAAGAACCAAAAAGAAAATTGCAAATATAAAAAAATAGTTGGTATTCTAAAGAGGCACTACTGTATTTTTTCACATCCATCTTATTTGAGATGCTGAGAGATATGTAAAATAGGTCCAATAAGTCCATCAAATGCACAGTCCTCCCCACCCCATGCCACAAACTCTTGGTAATGCTTACTATAGACAACTTTTATTTCAAATTTTTCATAGCACAGTTGCAATGCTGCAGAAAGTTAAGAGACCACCGGGAAATCTCCAAGGCCACTTGTTCCTGAACAGACCATGCACCAAATGTCAGTTGCATGACTTTAGGAGAGATTACCTGTGCCATGGTGAACAGACCAAAAAAAGGTCTACCCTTTAATTCCTCACTCACTCTGACACGTGAGGTACGGTTTTTCTAGACATCCTTTCCTTTGACTCACCCATTCTCTACCAAGATGCAGAGAGGGTAGCACTGCAAATATGAAAATATATAAGCCCTTTTACAAAATTGTAAGTTCCTTGTTCTGCTCCATTTCCCTTCAGGTAATAATTCTTAGACCAAATGTACCATATACTAGAACTAGCCTATAGCTACCCATGGATTGCTTTGTTTAACCCTCACAATGATCCTCAGAAGTAGTTGGGATTTCAAAAAAATGGGCTTTTTAGAGAGGTAAGCAATTTGCCAGGTTACTTAGCAAGTAATGGTAGAACCAGGATTTCAGCCTCCTTTCCCTGAATTTGTAGCTTCAACTGCTGCTCAACCTCTCTGATCTTTGAACCTTTCTGGCCACTTCTGAACAGTGTCAGCATGCAGTAAACAACTGCAGTTCTCTGGAGAATGGGTATCAGTCTAACAAGCTTAAATATCATACAGGAATAGAGCACCTGGCCATGTAAACGTTTCACTTTCCACTCCACCACTTTTGAAGGGAAAGGCTAGAATATAGCAGGCTAAACCCGAGAAGATCAGCCTGGCCTAGGGAGCACAACTGACCGCTGTATATGAAACTAAGGTTCACTGCCTTCAAAACAATCTCCAAGGGCTTCCTGTGCCTATTCTCAGGGTTCTAACAAAATTGTGCATGGTGTGTCTTTGAACCACCCACTCAACATCCAGGCCTTCAAAAACACCATCAGAAATCTTCCATTCTGACCACCCTCCCTCTCCCCATGCCCAAAGAAACATCCCATTCCCTCAGTGCTGCTGACTTTTACGAACAGAATTTTGAATAAAGTAGTTTAGACTGAAGTATGATTGACCAACAGGATTACTTTTCTCCTTGTGAATTATTTACATTTCTGTAAGGATCACCACATACATACCCTCTTCCTCTTAACAAATACCCTCTAAACACCTATTCATTGGAGGCTAGGAAAATACAAATGATTAGCAAAAAAAAAAAAAAAATTGTGGTTCAACTACATGAAGTCATCAGGACAGCTAAGGCACTTTGTCCCATCTGTCTTCTGAGAGTCATCTCAGAAGTGTTCAATGACAGCTCAATGGGACCATGAGCTGAAACTTAATGCCAGAGTCACAAAGCAAGTCATCAACGACACAGGTGCAGTGGACTAGATTGCAAGCAAATATTGGAGGGAGGGGATTATTTTTAGGAGGGAAAGGGACTATAAAGAATATTTTTGGTAGAAATTGATTGGAGCCAACTGAACAAATGAAATAAGATGATTCTAGAATGTGGAGTGTTATTAGGAAGTTCTAAAAAGCAAAAGAGCTGGAGAACTAGTGGGCAGGGGTCAGACAGCAGACAGTTGGGGGAGAGCCCCATTCAGGGGGCGGGCAGAAATGCAGCCGGGTCTGCAATGGTTAAGTAATCACATCATCATTAGGGGCCAAGGAGCTGCTGATGTTCTGGTACTGGTGGAGCTTTTCCATTAACTTTAGTAATATGGGTGTCTTCTGAAAATTTTAAGCCCTTTCTCAGGTGAAACCAAAAGGACAACAGCCTTAAAATATTCGAACACGGGGTGACGGTCATCTGCACAAGGTGCAGCTGGCCTCCGGAACGGGCGGGAAGGTTGCCCGTGGCCAGCGGCACCCGTGGGCCAATGGCCTCGGCTCACAGGTAGACCCAACAGAGAGTAAGAGTGACATCACACACCGTCACCTCATACGCACACCCCCAACTTTTTAAATAAAAACACGGCTAGTTGTCAGGCACTCCCAACGTGCCCTCCTCCCCAAGAGATCGCTCCGAGGTCACAGAGCATTCGGGGCTCCTGGAGCAGCAGGGCTGGGGGGCTGCGGGGAGCGGGCAGAGCACCCCGTGAGAGCAGGGCGTGGGATGACAACAGCCCGGGGCCTTGGGCGGGTCCGGGGACCGGTGAGAAGATTCCCACGCTCAAAAAAAATAACGACGCGCAGAATCGGGACGTGGGGGCGCGGGGGGCGGCCAACCTGGCCCGCCTGCCCGATCCGCCACCAGAACCCAGGTGACACCCTGCGACGCCCGCCAGCCCGGGACACCCGCTGACCTTGTAGCCGCCCCAGACGAACATGTGGCGCCCGTCGCTGACCGCTACGTGGCCGCTGCGCTCGGCGGGGCAGGCGAGCTCCATGGACTCGTAGCTGTCGTAGGCTGGCCCCGGCAGGTCGTCCGCCCGCAGGTCCTCGTTCCCATCAGCCATCTTGAGGCTGCACTTCTGTCCACCGACAATCCCCACAGCCGGCGTGAGGAGGGAAGAGACAAAGGGAAAGGGAGAAGAAACGAACGTCTGCGAAAGGGACTGGGTGAGGCCACTCCCTCGCCGCGGGCGCGTGCACCCGCCCAGCCCCCTCGGGGACGCCCCCTGCCGCAGGGCGGTGCTGTCCGGGTAGACGGCGGGGAGGCTAGGGCTGGGGCCACCGAGGGGCCGCTCAGGGCAGGCTCTAGCTGTTGCCGGTCCGCCCCGCCCCCAGCCGCCTCACGCCACCGCCTGCTAGTGTTTACGCCGCGTCCCCAGACCCGCCTTTTCTGCCGGCGCCGCCTGCTGGGCTCCGGAAGCTCAGCCGGCGTTCCGCGCCCGTCCTCCCGTCGCCGCTCTCGCGCTCCCGCCCCCCCCGCCCCGGCCCAGCTCTGAATCCAGGACGGCGAGTTCTGCGTGCAGCAGATCCTCCGAGCCCTGCAGGCTCTGCCAAATACGCTGGGTAGTAGCCAGAGCGGTGCTGAAACGGCCCGGCTGGGGGGTCCTATTCTCAATGCCCAGGTTTCTTGCGGGTGTGGGGACACCTCTGTGCCCTGGGATCGGGAGCCCTCGGGGGTGGGCAGGCTCCCGACGCGCAGCCCCCACCCGACTCAGCTCTTCTGGTTCAGCCGAGATCTTGAGTTAGTGCGCCCGACACCCATACCACCCTGAAAATTATTGTCTTAGTGAGTTTATGTTACTTTTCCTCACTCATACACACACACACATACATATGTATATATATAATGTACTGGTGCAAAGATCACCTTGTGCCTGTGCTGACAGTATGACGTTCTAAAAAGTATTCTAAGCTTCTATCAAAAGGCTAATACTTTTTAAAAGTTGTGCAAAAATACTATTTGAAAAAATGTACACTTATTTTGATGTGCTATTTTTAGTGTATCATACCAAAAATGATAATACCAAAAAAGAATCCTCCCTGACAACTGGAGGAATATCCGAGAGACATAACAAAAATGGTCAGAAATTCTTTTTCCTTAAGAACCAGACTGGAGACCTATTTTGTGAACCACCAGAACAAAACCTAGAATCACCTTTCAAACAGACACACTTGAAGGGAGAATTCAGAGCTAATGTTAGGAAGGTGTCATTGCCTTGGGCTCCTGTATGCTGATCCCGTGGAGGTCCAAGAACAACATAGAAGCTGGTAGTAAACCATCAGCTGGTGAGAAGTGAGGAATGAATACTTCTTACCTATCAAACTTTACTATCTCCTAATAGCAGGAGAGCCCTGCTTTAAGCCAAGTTATAGAAATTGAAGGTGAAGATCAGAATTTCCTGCTACCCCCACTATGGGGCTACCTCAAGACATAGTTTTTGGAGTAACACAGTATATTAGGTCAAATAAGTATAGCACCAGTTACCTGTACCATAGATAATACAATATACAGATTTTCATTCTCTTGAAGCCTAAATGTTGCTGTGTATTTGAGAGGCTAATCCAACTTTTAATGTTCTAAGTAAACCGTTTAAAAATAGAATTGCTTTTCTAAGAGACTCGAGAAGGCATTTATATAATCCAGAAGCCATTTTAAAAAAGTGTTCATTCCACTCAGTGTCACCTATGCAGTAGGTTTTGGTATTTTCCCCTTAAATAGGAAATGCTGATACTGAAGCTCATTGTAATAAAACATTACCTATAAGATGCATATTACCTGTGAGATTCACTCTCTAAATTTATTCAGCCTAAAAATAGTAAGAAAAATGAAAATTTACACTGAAATAATGTTTGTACAATCAACTCTAATGGTTGGTTCACACTAACAAAACTGGGAAAATAGTAAATCTACATAGTCTGTATAATAAATAAAATATAAACAAAAATATTTCAGTACATAAATAGAAGCTTTACACATCCAAAATACAATACATATATGTAAAATATATCTCTAAAATGTATGAAGTTTGAGACACTTCAAACTACTATAATTTTCATTATAAATTACACATATATCTCAATATTTGCTCTCATTTTAAATTTCAGAGATAATTTGCATAGTGGTATTGTGGAAAGTAGTTTTATATACCAAGCCTTTTAGTAATACATTGTTATTCAGTGGAAGGATATGACTGATAATATGCACAATTTCTTAATTATGGCAAAATTACTCTTAAAGAATATAAAGGTACAGTGTTTTATTTCTGTATAGGCAGTTAATATTGAAAATAAATAGGAACATAACACATTTTCAATATCTTTAAGCATCGACTTTGTAGAATGGGGTGGGCCAAATTGAGGGGTTTCAATAAAGGCAAATTACTACATTACCATTCCATTTCATTATTTATGAAAATTACTGTAGAAGCACTCTTCAAGGCAAAATATATTTTAATGTCTCATCAATTAATAAATATACTCCCCCTCAACAATTCAAAGCCTGTATGACAAATAAACCTCCATTTTAGAAACTTTAAAACATGGTCTTTATATATATAGACTAATATATAGAGAGACTATAGACTAATAGACTATAGACATATATAGTGTATTAGTCTTTATAAATATATATAGCTAGGTATTTATATATTAGTTTAGACAAACTAATAAATTAGGGGTAATGGAAAGCAATTGAATACATTTATTTCCGTACCCAAATAAAGGTCGAAGAAAACCTACAGAAAGAAAAGGGGAAAGCTGTGCTGATGCCTGAGGCTGCGTTCCTAGATGAGTGCCAGAAGGGCAGGCACTCCGCATTTACTACCACACCAGTGTTTGCCTATTTTATAATTGGGCCAGCTGTATTAGGAGATGTTATTTAAGGTGTTAAATAACAGTTATTTAATGAGAAGACTTAAAAATTTTTAAGTGACTTGAGAAAATCTGTTCTTTCTAAAAGTTGATTTGTTGTGTTTTTATGTATGTATCATTATCATTAATTTATATATCATTATGATTTCTAAAGTCCTTGAGTAATTTCTTATTCTCCTCAAATTTGTATAATCTTTCCAGTAGTGAATACACAATGACTTAAGTCTCCTGCAATTGTCCTTACTTTCAGAAAGTATACTTTTTCTGCAGTTTATAAGGAATTTATTTTAGAAATATAAATTAATCTGTCATTAACATCTCATTCCCATATATCCTATGCCATGTAATCACTTTAACATAGCATTTTTGTTTCGAATTTTATCTTCTAAAGAAAGACTCCAGTTTGGGGTGTAAATATACAGTCTGATTTAAATGTTTAAACACACTAAATATAGAGAATATATAACAATTTAATTCCTACTGATCCACTGACACTTATTTTCTGTTTCTTCTTTTTGGGCTCTTTGTTCGTCTCGGTGCTTAGCTGCAGTCCAAAATGTGATTTTTTTGAGTACTTGTTGCAGAAGTTTAGGAGGTAATAAAGATATTTGACTTTCTAAAATTATAGCATTTTTACCAATGCAATCAAGGCATAACCTGTAAATGAAACATAGCAGAATTATTCAGTTTAAGTGATACAGTAAAGTATATGTAGGTACGTTTCTTAAAAATCATCAAAAAGCTTTTTCATATAACGTGTTTCCTTTGTGTTGTCTGGAGCACGGCAGGGCACGTGTGCGTTCCAGAGCACTGCTAGCTGCACGCTGCCATAGCGCAGAGACTGCATCTGACCAACACTCCACGGAAACAGAGATGACAATTTAGCATGCATGATATTCTTTAAGTAAAAAGGTTTCAGACTTAATTTCAAAGCAGGTTAGTCTGTAGAGACCCTTTCTCACCTATCCTTGCAGCCCAATACCCATTTACTCTGGCTTTTTTCTTCAAGCACTCCAAGATGACGCATCTGACATCCATGCTTAACAAGACCTGGTCCTCCCCTTACTTTGGGACTCTCTATAAGTCTGGGTATTGGCAGGGAGTCCCATCAGCTGCCTGGACTGGGGGCCCAGACTGCAGATTTGGAGACTCTGTAGCAGCTGCCAAGTGATTTCACTTGGGGACTCTCCTCCTCTGACTCTCAGCACCTCCGGTCATCTTCACACTTGATTGAATCACTGTGCTTTCTGGTTGAGGTTACAATCCCAGGTCACAATTTAGTTAATCAGGAATTAAGGGGGCTTCTGGTTTACAGAGCTGTGCCTGGTAAAGGTGCTTTCTGGTTATTGTGACATTACAGAGCTGTCTGGCTGAATGGGAGAAAAAGCCTCCGTTTTGGGAAACAGCACTTTAGGGCAAGTTTTGGCTGATTGGTTGACCTATCCTTATAAACTTGTGACTAAAAAGAAAGTTGAGTTTATTGTAATGCTGTTTGGTTTATGTATTACATAATATGGACTCAGGAGCATGCTGACCATTAAATGGGTCTTTGAATTACTGTAACATACGTGGTTAACTAGAGTTGTTTTGTCAAAGATCAGGGAAGTGGGACAAAATGCTTCAATTAGAAACTTTCATGAGTTTACATAATCAGGATGCAGGATTAAAAGGAAATAGATTAATGGTCCAGAAAAAAGGGAAATTGCCTGTGAAAGATAGCAGAAGCTCAGAGCAGAAGGCCCAGGAAGATCCGGATATTATGGCTGCTGTGAGCGTGGTCAGGGTTCCTGAGGCCCCTCCAGCCCAGGGGGATCTTCCTCTTCACTTGGCTGAGGGAACTGGGGAAAGTGAGCCTGAACTGGTATCGGTTGTCTCGAACCTGTCAGGGAACCAAATTCAGTGGAAGAAAAGCCTTACAAGGGCAGGGCAATACTGTTTATGAAGACTTCCAGGAAGAGTAGGGCCAGAAGGCCAGCTCACTGGATATTATTGGGAACATACTCCATTTTCTACATCAGATCTGTTAAACCGGAAAGACTCTGAAAGGACCAGTGTATATCCTTTTAGAATGGATGGAGTAGTGCACCAGGCTCTTGAGTCCCTGAAGCTGCACCTGGCTTCTGCACCAGCACGGGGCTTCCAAACCTACTAAAGGCCTCTCAGTTGTACGTTCATGAAAGGCAGGGCATTGCCCTAGGGGTCCTCACCCAAATGCTTAGTGACATTCTGCAACCCATTGCTTACTTGTCAAGGAAAACTAGATCGCACTGTCCAGTGGAGGCCAGCCTGCTTGAGAGCTGAGACAGCCACCTGTGAGCTCTTACAGGAAGCTGAAAATTTTCCCTGGGACAGCCTGTCACTGTTTATGCACCCCAGCCAGTGTTGAGCCTGCTGGAGCAAAAGGGAAATTTGTGGCTCACTGCTGGAAGAAGGGGCAGGTATGAAGCCCTTCTTCTTGACAATCCCAATGTCTCCCTCAAAACTGTAAGTTAAACCCTGCCTCTCTTCTCCCAGAGTCTGACTCGGCTGTGCTAATGCATGACTGTGCTGAGATAACTGATGAAGTGTGTTCTAGCAGAATTGATTTACAGGACTGTCCTTTAGAAGAGGCAGACTGCACTCTATGCAGATAGAAGCAGCTATATGGACAAAGGAAACAGAAAGGCTGGGTATGCAGTTGTGAGTCTGGAAGGAACAGTAGAGGCCAAGGCCTTGCTGCCAGGAACCTCTGCTCGGAAAGCTGAACTGATTGCATTGATGAACTGATTGCACTGGAATTGTCGCAAGAAAAGAGAGTGAATGTGTACATCAACTAAGGTAAGCTTTCCTAATTTTGCAATCACATGGTCACATCTTAAAGAAAAAAGAACTGTTAACCTCCAATAAAAAGGAGTTTAAGCTTGCCACAGAAATTTTAAAATTATTAGAGGCTATTCAGGCACCTTTACAGGTGGCAGTTACACATTGCCCTGGGCACCAGAAAGAAGTGGCTAGAGGAAACAATCTGAAACAATCTGGCTGATCAAGCAGTGAAACAGGAGCTGCTAAAGGAACGTTTATAATGCCTTTGGTACCTGTTACAGACTTGTCACAATTTGACCCTGAGGATTTGACTGTAGACTTAGAGGAAGCTGAGAGCTAGGATTTTGATGAAGAAGGACCTAATGGTGAATGGAGAAATAATAAGAAAGGAGTTACATTGCTTCCTGAACATTTAGTAGAGTCAGTCATGAAGCATTTGCATGAGGCCACTCACTATGTAAGGGACTCATTAACCACATATATTAAACTGTAGCTCCCAAGTCCTGGAATTGCTAAAGCCACATGAAAAATAATTGCTAGATGTGTTGTGTGCCAGAACAACCCCAAGACAGATTCCCCATCCAAAGAAAGAAGGGAAACAATACCAAGGACAGAGCCCACTTGAGGACTGGCAAACAGACTTTACCCAGATGCCAAGGGTCTGAGGGTGGAGATATTTGTTAGTCTTTGTTGACACCTTTTCAGGATGGGTAGGAGCCTATCCTACTAGAATGGAGAAATCCTGTAGGTAGTGAAAAGCTTACTGAAGGAAATAATTCCTCACTTTGGCCTACCCAGCAGTATCCAGAACAATAATGGAGCTGCTTTTGTTTCAGAAATTACACAAAAAGTTAGTAAATTTCTAGGAATCAAGTGGAGATTCCACACAGCATGGAAACCTCAGGCTCCTTGGAAGCTAGAGATGAATCACACCTTGAAGAAAAATATAGCCAAACTGTGTCAGGAAACTCATCTCCATTGGGATCAAGCTTTGCCTATTGCCCTGCTCAGAGTAAGGGTGGCTCCTAGAAGTGGTATTCAATTAAGTCCTTATGAAACCATTTCAGGCTATGATTGGAGTGGGAGATACATATATAGATCAAGAAGTGAAAATAAAGAAATATGTACATTTAAGTCAGATGTTAGCTGTAATTAATGACCTGGCTTGTGTTACCAACCTCTCCCCTCGCAGGTTTAGCTACATTCCTTTAAGCCTAGAGATAAGGTGCTCCTCAAGACTTGGATGATAGCATCTCCAGAAAGCCAGCTAGAAGAAAAGTGGACTGAACCTTGGGACATACTCCTCAGCACCCGCACCAAGGTAAAGTTGGCAGAAATAAAACCTTGGATTCATCACACCAGAGTAAAGAAAGCACTGGAGGAACAATGGATCACTGAACCCCAAGAAGACCTGAAAGTCATCTTTCAAAAACAATGACATATTCTTTTCATTACTTTCTGTTTAAACTCATGTTCCTTTCAAATTAGATGGAAATATTTGGGTATATTTAGCAAAATGTTCTAAACATCTCTCTGACTTTTGTCTTGCAGGAGGAACTTATGTTGAACAAACTTTCACTGCATGTCTTAGGGGTATTTGTTCTTCCCCAGGAAGCTTTTCCTGATATTTATAATTGGAGACCTGTGGTAACTCTCAAGGACAGGGAAATGTTTTCTTTAAAAGCCACTAACGTAGCCCCAGCTGAAAGTGTCCAACTTTTTTCAACAGTGCTAAAAACTGTTTTGTGCTTTATTATAGCTTGTTATTGCATATAATGTACCCCCTCATGTGGATCTGCAATTAAATGTATTCTTAAGCCCTCTACCAGATGCTCAGTTACATGCTCAATAGCAAAATGAATACTTCCATATAAAACTGACTTCATAGAAATAAGATAGTTTAACAATGGGGAAATGATGTGAGACTCAAAAAGCTGGAAAATTTTAGTTTTACATAATAGTAAGCCTAGTAGTTAATGCATGTGAAAAGCTACTGTTTCAGGAACTGCAGGTACGGACCACCCTGACTCCAGGAGACCACAAGCAATAGGCCTTTGTGCTCCAGGAGAGACCATCAGCAGCCAAGGTGGTGTCCCAGCCACTGTGTTCCAGGGACAGACAGTCTGCAGCCCAGGACACAGATAAAGAAATTACCAGACTACAGCTTTTAACTGATAAACCTTTTTCTTGAATTCCAGAATGCTTACCTATACTTTTTTCCTTGAATTCCAAACCCCTTACCTACACTTTTATTCTCCTTTTAAAAAGGGTCAGTTGAAAATGGAATTTGAGGAGGTCTGTTAGGGCACAAACCCACCAACCATCTGAATAAAGCACCCAGGTAGATTCAATCCCTGTCTCCACTTACTGGGTCTGGGAGGTGATAGGCAGCACAACTGCCTGCTTATCTGGTTTCACAAATACAATTCCCTTTTTACCTTAAGCTACCTGTAAGAGGGTTTTGTACTTTAAAAGCAAAAGAAACTAGATTAATGTAGGAACCATCAAAAAAGCATCTTTCAACTAATAAACTTTAATTCGAAGAGGTAAATACTTTATAAAAGTTGTAGAAATAGCCCTTACTGGTGTGACTCAGTGGGTTGGGTGTTATCCTGCCAACTAAAAGGCTGCCAGTTTGATCCCGGTCAGCACACAGGCCTGGGTTGTAGCACAGGTCCTTGGCTGGGGTCCTGCGAGAGGCAACTGATTGATGTATCTCTCATGCATCGGTGTTTCTCTCCCTCTCTTTCTCCCTCCCTTCCATGCTCTCTCTTTTTAAAAAAGTTTTAAAAATAATAGATTCTTTGGATTCTGCTGTGGTTATCTCAGTTGTCATTTTTATAAGGATTTATACT